TGTTCGTGACCCCCCTCTGTTCGAAATGGCCCTCTTGTTTATTTATGGTTGCTGGGTAATGGAGTAGTGATTAGGATTTGTTTAATGGATTTGTGGGATTTGTTTTTAGTATTGGAGTAGGTTTAGTGGAGTGAAAATGGGATGGTGCTTGGTGGAGTCATGAAACACGTGAATGGTGGGTAGGTTTATTTGGTATGATATAATAAAAATGGTGCTTACAGACTCTAAATGTCTAACCCTATTTGTTTGATTAAAAATACAATATGTATTTAGAATTTTATTTATTTATTAATAATATATATTTTACAAATATAACTGTTTAAATTTATTTATTTTTTTAAAAAATAACATTCTCTTTTATTATTAAAGTCGCTTAATAAGTTCAATAATAAATCGTATTTCTCATACTATGCTTATAATATTGAATATATAATTACACTTTCTTTCGAGATAATTATTTTTTCTTTTTTCATTTAATTTTTATTTTTTTCAAAATAAATCATTATGTTTTTATTTTTCAAAATCGATCTTTGATTTACATTAGACAGAGCGAATCTTGAATGGCTGATTAATCCACCACCATCTTTAGTTTATCTTATTTACTTTGTTACTATCTCACATGTTATACATCAACAAAATAATTATAATTAAAAATAACAAACTCACACACACACATATATATGAGAAATTTTTTAATATATAGATTGTATAAACTTTAATTTAAAATCCACATAAATCTAATTATTTTAATGTCATGTTTCATAGTTATAATTTATGGTTTTAGGATAGTAAAATTTAGAGTTTATATTTAAGGTTTATAGTTTTAGATTTTAGGGCTGAGACTAAAATAAGATTTAGGATCCTTTCACATAAATTTAGGATTATTGGGTGGGTAGATATAGACGATTAAGATTAATAAAAGCAAATGAGAAAAAATTTACAAGGAAAAAAGGAATAGATTATCGGCAAATTAATAATTTTAGTATCACTCATCAAAATTAATTAATTCAATCATCTTAAATCAATATAAAATTAAAGAGTCTTACACTAATTTAAAATCATTGAATCAAACAAATTTGATACTGAGACTAAAACTTTATACATTTTCTCATTAATCACTTTTTTTACTCATAAAAATTCTCATTTTCAATTATCAATCTCGGTTATTAATTTTATCTAATCAAATAATCCTAAATCAATATAAAATTTAAAATTTTACATTATATACCTAATTTCTACCTCCCTAAATACATATTAGTAAATCTCACTCAAACAATGATGAATATATGCTTTAATTCAATATGGACACGTGTCCACTTAAAATTTAAATTTTCTTTAGTTAATTATTTATTTATTGATTATTTCTACCCTAAAATTTTATTTTTATATACTGTATAAAAATTTTATATTATTAATAGATATATATATATATATATATATATATGTGTGTGTGTGTGTTTGTGTAAAAACATGTTACTGCATTCAAAAATCACAATTCACAACGCAAGTGCCAACACAAAATAGCATGATCCTTTGAAATGCGAGGATGGTGTTTGGCTACGTATGTATAAAAACATAATAATTGGTCACCATCTAGCTATGGAACAAACCCTAATTTCTCATCCATTAAACAGTTCCAATCATTTCACTCATCTTTCATCTTTTTATACGTATAGTTTCTATGAAAACGTCACTTTAACCATAAAAATAGAGTGACAGATCTCAGCAAACTGATTTAGGATAATTGAAATTAAATAAAAATCAATATTGAAAGGTCTTAATATGGTTAATTGTAAGGGAAAACATGATCACATGCACGTGGGACAATTGTGGGGAAGGGAGGACTCTTCCGGTACTTGTTCACATCAACCTCTCTTTTTCTTTCGAATTTAATTTTTGGAAGCTTCCAATTAACTTTATTATTATTTATTATATGAAAAAATTTATTATTATTTTTTTATATGAAGAATGAGCTAGTACTAGTAATAGTATTAGGCATATATATATATAAATATATGGGATATGATATTATTACCAAATGTAAAATATTTTTAGTTTTACATAGATTAATAATTATTTGATGAGTGAAAATAGATGATTGAGATTAACAGTAGGAAATAAGGAGATATTTGTTGGAAAAAAAGGGAGTCAATATCAATCATATATTTTCACTCATCCAACGATTTTAAATATGTGTAAAACTAAAGAGTTTTACATTACGTAAGTGGATATTAACCCTATATATATATATATATATATATATATATATATATAAGTTAAGATCTTTTTACACAATATAAAACTTTTTAATTTTACAAAGATTTAGGACAATTGGATGAGTGAAAATAAATAGTTGAGATTAACTCCTTATTTTTCTTTTCAATAAATATATTCTCATTTCATACTGTTAATTTCAACCATATATTTTCACTCATCCAACGACCTTAAGTATGTGTAAACTAAATATTTTTTACATTGTATAATAGAATTCTATACATACATATATATTGTTTGAGATGATTATAAGATAGTATATGTTCGTAATATTTCTTAGCTAATGTCAACGTATACACCCTACAAAAATAATTGTTTGAACTTTGGACTTTTAGAGAGAATAATTCTTTCATTAACCATTAAATTTTTGAATATACTCATATACATATTTTTATTTAGGATGTAAAAAAGTTTAGGAAAATAAGGTTTTCATAGATATGAATATAAAATTAGGACACCAATTTTCTTCTTTTTACAATTTAGCCATTATTTAAATCTGAGATGATTACAAAATTTAAATTAAATATTAATTTTGATGAAATTTGTATAAATTCCTAACTTAATTTAATGATAAAAATTATACTGAATTTGATTTTTTAAATACACATTTTTTGATTTTTTATATTATATTTGAATATAAATTTTGATAAAATACTAATATATGCAAAATTTAACTCAACAGTTTAGAGTAAAATCCCTCTCGAAAAAATATTTAGTTTGAGTCTCATATTTCTCTTTCTTTCTAATTTATTTTTTAGTCTTATGTTTCTCCTTTCTAATTTAATATTGGTTAAAATTACACAAAGGATCATTAATGTTTGAGTAAACTTTTATTTTTCCCTACTAAAGTTTCAAAAATAACAATTTGATAATTAATGTTATCGATTTATAACAAATCTGTCATTCACCGGTAACAATATTATTAAAAAAATTATTATTTGATATGTGTTGTGTTTATATTTTTTATTAAAAAAATGAAAAATATTATTCTTTTTCAAAATGATCCCAAAGCTTTTTTAAATTATGTAAAAAAAAATCCCAAATTCCTTAAATCTTTAACTCCAAACACCCATCGTCGTCGTCAGCAATCGTATGCTTACCGCCACTGCGATCGAACGACCACCCGCGCATCGGCTATCGCCCTTGTAAGTGGTGATAATACTCGAAGTTGAAGAAATCCCCCTTGTAAGGATGTTATTCAATGCATATAGACGTACCAAGCTATTCAAGTTGCATTGTCAACAGCCTTTGCTTAAACCAATCAAGGATTAAACCAGGAAGCAAGAATCATAATAAAATTCATAAGAGAATCGATTACGAACTGTGGGTTTTGTTCACCCAGCCTTGTTCTTCTAAACCCATAAATGTTAATCACGAAAACACTACCGTATGACCAGTGATGGGTTCTACCGACGGTGGTGGTTGTTTGCCGACAATGATGTCGGTCGGCGGCGACAATAAACTTTTATGTTTCTTTGAATAGCGTTTCGTCTTTCGACAGCGTCTTATGGTTAACAATCCAGGTTTCTTTTGTTGATATTAAACGGTCAAACTATTAGTATCTATGGTGCTCGAACTCAAATCCTTAAGAAATAAAAACAATTCTTTTACCACGAATGCCACTTAATTCGTGCAGTTTACGATGGAAGCAGCCTGAGGTGGAGTCATCAAAAATCACAAGAGACAATGGATAATTGGGTTTACCAAGAAGTTGGGAATTTGTAATACCCTTGAAGTAGAATTATGGGGAACATACATCGGGTTACAAACCGCATGGAAGATGGGATTAAAGCAAATTCAAGCGGTATCAGACAGCAAGGAAGCATTGAATATGATCAGGAAGGATAGGAATAATAGGAGAAACCCAACCATCATGCAATACATTGACGAGCTATTAAAAAGAGACAGGAGAGTGAAAACGAATTAGGTTCCGAGGACGAATAACAAGGTCGCCGATGCCCTTGCAAAACATGCCTGGAAGCTCTCGAATGGTCTTCTTGAGTTTATGCATCCCCACACTGACAAATAAAACTAATTGTTTTATTTGAAGTAAACAGTATAAAATAAAAAGATATCTTTACAATAACCATTACAATTAAACAAATAAATCTTATGTTTTACTTATTAGCAAGTATGAGTCAAATCTAATAAAGTATTCGAATGAGAATGTTCTTGTATGGAGGCATTTGGGTTCGGGTGCCTATGCAACTTGAATTGGATATAATTGGTTATTATGGAGGAATGTTGAATTTGAATTACATATAAACATCTAGGATTATTATAATATAATATTTATTCTAAAAAGTTCTCGTCCATTTAATAATAAAAATTTAAATACTTTTATGATCTTTGATGCTTAAATTTAAAATCTTTAAAAATAATAATTATTCTTTTAATTATTAATTATTGAGGTAATTTAATTCTAGCAGTTATTACAATATATTTACTCGTGAGTGGAGCAAATTTTAATTGTATCAATTCAAAATATGTAAAACTCAGTCGATAACCTATTCTAAATTCAATACTTAGTTTCGTTAAACCAATCGATAACATAAATTATACGAATAATTACTAAACTTTACAGATCAATATAAATTTAATTTGTTTATGAAATATATTAGAATATCATTGAAAGTTTTATAAAATAAATTCGAAAATATCAAAATCTAATAACTGTCATGGCAAACGTGGATACACCTCAACTGTAACATTGGATTATCAAGAGGATTTAAGATCCGGCATTGAGCTTGGGCCGCAATGGATTTCTGGAACAAGGCTCGGAGCTTCGCCGAGGAAGCAGCGAAACGCTCGTCAGAGCTTTCTACAGGCCCCGCGAAGCTCGGCGATATAGTAACGGACGCTATGAAACGGTCCAAGGAGATCGCGGCCGAGGCGTCCAAACGGGCCGAAGAAATCAAAGCCGAAGCCGCGAAGCAAGCTGAATTCATCAAGTCGTTGCTCGCCGAGGGGGTCACGCCTCCAGAAAACCCGGAGAGCCTGGTGGAACCAGAGAAGGAACTGGAGAGGTTTGGAATTACTGAAGAGTTGAGAGATTTCGTTAAGGGGATTACTATGAGCACCTTTCAAGATTTTCCTTTACCTGGTAAATCAATACTTTGTTAAACGTTCTTTAGATACTGATAAAATGTAGGCAGTGGAATTAATTGCTCTGAAAATTTACGAACTGAGAAAGAAATTCTAACTTTTCATTATATCAAATGCTATGGTACAATCTTCAGACTTAATTCTAATGTTGTATCTTCGGAATTAGGTAGTTCAATTACAGTTTTGAAATTGGAAAAAGGAGAAATAATTAGGCCTTTTTCTTTAATCTGCAACAACCTGGAGTTTAGTTCATGAACATTTTCTATCAGCAGATGATTTCCCAATGTCTGATGTTCCCCCATGAAGATAATAATTTTTTACCCATATTAATTTATTATTATTATTATTATTATTATTATTATTACTATATTATTATTATTATTATTATTATTATTATTATTATTATTATTATTATTATTATTATTAAATATATTAAATACATATATAAATAATATTAAATTACAAGCCCAGTTAACCGGCCCAAAACCCAAACCGAAACCCTAAACATTTAGGGTTTCAGTTAGGGTTTCCTAACCCTAATCCCTAGCCGCCTCTGCCTCCAGCCGCCTCTGCTTCCACCGCTGCCACGTCACAACCGAAGGCACCAGAAGGTCGGCCGTAGCCGCACACGTATTTCCCAAATGGTGAGTCACCACTGGAAGTCCGGTGACTCACCGAACTCTATCCTTCGGACCGGTCCGAGAGGAGCACCGGTGATGGCTATAAAAGCCACCACCCGAACCTGAAAGAAAAAAAGGAGAGAGGAGACAGAGACAGAAACGGAGAGAAGAGAAATACAAAGAAACAAAATACAAAAAAAAAAGCTACCAACGACCTCAACAACAATCGCAGCAAAGAAACAGAAAAGAAAGAAAAAGGAAGAAGAGAAACTTACCGAGGAAGCCCCGACCACCGGATCTCACCAAAACCTTCGAAAAACCGAATGTATATTTCTTAGATTTGCTCCGATCGGGAGCCGTTTAAAAGAAAAGATCATCGAAACCGTCATTAGGACGGTCCGATCTACGTTTCAATGTAAAAAAAAATTATTCCGGCCACTGGATGTGGTGGCCGGCGGCGGTCTTGACGGTGGCCGACGGCAGAAGAACGCCGGCTGACGGTTGCCGGCCGACTGGCTTCTCTCTGTTTTAGAGAGAAGCGAGAGAAAAATTCTCTCTCTCAGAGAAGAGAGAGAGAGGAAAAATAAAGAAATGAAGCTGGCCCTTCGGGCCAGCCGGTTTTGGACCTTATATAGGCCTTCCCGAACGACGTCGTTTCGGGAAGGATTATGCGTGTAATTAAAAAATAGTTAAATCCTTTCCGCAGTCCTCCGAACTTGTAAACTTTACATTTTAGTCATTAAATTGAGTTTATAATACTTTTAATTTGATCTTGAAATTTTAAGTTTATTTATTTTAGTCCTTTTTATTAAAATAATATATTTAGGATAAATAACAGAATTAATCCCTTAATTTTAATAAATAATATTTTAATCCCTAGTTTATATTTTTAATTTATTTTATTATAATATCCGAATTTTAGATAATTTTATTTTAGTCACTAAATAAATAAAATAAAGAAATAGCATGTTTAAACCCTAATATTTTGATTAATTATGAATTAGGTTTTTAATTTTATTTTTACTATAATTTAGTCATTTATTTTAAATGTTTTCATTTATTTTAATGATTTTAAATATATCGTTCTAGTTGTATTTTTATTGTTTTAATTTTACTTGTTTATATTTTTAAATATTTTTATGTATTCATAAATATATATATAATAAATAGTAATTAAATTTTTAATATTTATTTTTAATATCGAAGAAAAGGACAGTCTTAATACAACTGGATGTCCTATTCTGGTATTTTAAAATTAAACAATATTATTTAAATTAATATTTATCAATATCAAAGAAAAGAGCTGTCTTAAGGCGCCTAGAAGTTCTTTTCTGATATTTTTAAATAAATAAATATTTTTTATATAATTTTGAAATAATAGGATTATAAATTAAATATATTCTTGAATTTTTAAAATTTTAATAATAGAGACAATTTATAATTAAAAAGTACCAATTTTGGGCGTTGTAGGGGTGCTAATCCTTCCCTAAACGTAACCGACCACGAATCCTTTTTTATTATTAAAAAGAACGAATTTTTGGTTATAAACGCATATCAGTTCATTTTTTAATTGATGTTTTCTTAAAACTCTTTTAAAGAAAATAATTTTTAGGTATTCGACCTACCTGATCCAAAAGGTCGATGGCGACTCCCAAATTATTTTCAAAACTATTTATTCACATCAATTTCCCCGCCAAGTATAATATTTCGTGCCCGGACGAAAACCGGTTACGACAGCTTGGCGACTCCGCTGGGGACCGGTCAAACTTTTAAAAATCAATTATAAATTGTCTCTATTAATTAAAAATTCATATATTTAATTTTTAATTTTTTATTTTCAAAATTTTTATATTTAATTATTATTTTCATAATATTTATATGTTTTATTTTATTTGCAAGTATTTTATTTCATTATTTATTTTTTTTGTCAAAGGTTTGAACATTTCTCCTCACACACAACACTTGCATTGCATAACATAAAGCTCTATAATTGAGTTGTCCCTTTTAAGTGGGAGTGAAAGCGATGTCTTCGTGAGAATTTATTCTCCGTGTCAGACCTAGCAAGTAACTTTCGGGGTTCATATGCTCTATATTTTCGTGAGAATTTATTCTCCGTGTCAGGCATAGAGAAATGTATCCCCTTGAATTGAACTCGATCCACTTTAGTCTGTAATGGACTAGGGTTGAGGGTTAGTAGCCCAAGGGAGCACTAACAAGGACAATTCGGGTACCTTTATTCTTAGATCTGAAACCCTGCATATAATAAACCCTAGAAACTCTTCCGATCCGAAGTCATGCCGAAATTTTGTCCAAAATAGGTGTACACACAGGAGAAATGAATTCTAAATTTCTTGTTTATTTATTTATTTTTACTGATTAAATTACATGTATGTTTAAATTATTTAAATTTAGAAAAGCATGTTTAAATAAAAATATTTAGGTAAATGTTATTTCTTTATTATATACACTAATTCATTTCTTTTTGTGTATTCTTTATTTTTCTGTTTGCATAGCACCATACAGGATAAAAGACATTGATCCTTGTGTTAATTGTCTCATTGGAAAGCCTTCATCTATGGATAAAAAGTGTTCAAATCAAATAATTCTAAACTCAGAAGTAAGACAGTGGGCTGAGGACTTACAAAGACAAGAAGGAGACAGTCTGCAGGATGATTATGTATCCGACTTGGCCAGTTATGCTCCAGTTTCGCTAAAAATAAATGATATGCAAGATTTGTGAAGTATTTGGGAAAGTTGGGATTCAAACAAAAAATTGCAGTTTTATCAGACTTACGGAGACATCCCATATTTGCTCTATGTCAAAGTTGATGATGAATTACTCAGAGCCCTAATTCAATTCTGGAACCCAGGGTACAATTGCTTCACTCTCAATAAAGAGGATTTGGTCCCTACTATTGAAGAATACACAACTTTGCTACATATCGAAGGGGCTTTGGAGAATCGAATCTATTCAAAGTCAATTAAAACTCAACCCTTTCGAGTTAAATTAGCAAAGATTGCCGGGGTACGAGAAGAATGGGTAGCATCCCGTATAAAACAAAAAGGCGAAAGCGAAGGCATTGCTTGGACCAACATTAAAGAACTTATTCAGAGTCATCCAGATATTAAAGTACGATTCGATTTATTTGCTCTGGGTATGTATGGTATGGTCATTTTCCCAAAAGTATTGGGATATGTTGAAGTTGCAGTGGTAGATTTGTTTGAACAGCTACCGAAAAAGATTAATCCTGCTTCTGCAATTCTAGTAGAGACCTTCAGATCGTTAAATGCTTGTAGAAAGATAGGAGGTGGACGATTCTCAGGGTGTACCCAGTTATTATATGTTTGGATCCGTAGTCATTTCTGGAGGACAGAAAAGGTTTCATACCGACGCTTTAATACAGATTACTCACTATTAAAAGAATTTCTGGAGCAGGAATGGCCGAAAGAAATTAAGAAAGATATGTGGATTAATGCCTTTCGAAATCTGCAAAGTAATGACATTGTTTGGCGAGCCCCGTGGCAAATACAAAGGGAATTCTTTTACAAATGTGGAGATTACAACTGGATAATGTTGCTAGGATTATGGGGAGGAATTGGATATGCACCACTTCTGGTCATAAGACAGTATGAAGGTCGTCAATTTGTACCTGTCACTGCTGGATTACAGTCATCTGAGTTCGCATTCCATAGCAAAAACTATAAAAGAAGCATCATGGAAGCCGTTACAGCTTGGAAAACAACTTTTTGTATCCGAGCTAAAGCAGCAAAAGAAATGCTAACTCCTGATTATGAAGAATGGAGATCTGCCAGGAAAAATGAAAATATTCCTCTACCAGATCAAAAAAAGGATATCTCTATGGAAGATCGCATTAAGGTGTTTCCATCAGAGATTGAAATCCTGAGAGATGAGTTTTAAGCAGAAAGAGAAGGTTGGTCGAAAGAATTAGAGCAAATGAGACAAGATAAAGCTATGTTGGGTATGGACATTGACTTTCATTCATCACAATGTGCAATGTTGAGAAAAGATAAAGAAAAAGTTGATGATGAATTCAGAACATTACAGAAAAATTACCATGAGTTATATAAATCCCGGAAAGCATCAAGACCAAGTCAAGCAACAATACAAATGACCAGAGAATTGAACATCGAGAAAAGACGAGTTGAAGATCTGAAAGGAAAGAATAGCCGTCTACTCAAAAGCCTTGAGAAAGGAAAGCAAAAAATGGAAGATTTTGAGGTCGACAGAAGAGAGCGAATTATAAAACACAAGGCTGAACACCGTGAGATCATGAATGAAATGAGAAGAGAAAGGGATCGAGCCAAAGATTTAGAAGAGATGAAGAATGACATCTTTGATAAATTTGAAGGTGAGAAAAATATCATGTTTAAGGGATTTGAATCTGAAATGAACCAGTTGATTGCTGAACTTGAAGTCAGAGGCCAAAAGATGGAAGAATCCAATGTTGAAAAAGGAAAATGGGAGCTGGAAAGAAAAAATTTCAACACCAGACTTGAGGTAGAGCAGGAAGTGGCTAGCAATTGGATGCAAAGATGCAGAAACAAGGATGTTCAAATCCAGAAGCTTAATCAAAGAACGCAAGAAGCACGAACAAAACTTGAAGAAGATCTGGATCAGTCTAGAAATAAAAACTCAGAGTTTAATGCTTACATTTTGCAACTT